TCAGATCCGCATACTTGGGTGTTGTTAATGTTGATGTTTGCATTGGGATTATCTTCAGGGCAAACAGGGCAATCACAAACTGGCCTGTTGAGCGTCGTATTCATCTTGCATACACCATTATTATTGCAAATGACGTTCGCACAAGAAGCTGCAACAAAACAACAAGCTATGTTTTAGAGCTTCGAAAGTGCAATGTTAGCGAGCAAGAAAGATGCAGTTGACAATAGTTGTGCTATAAATTGCAAGTTCTTTGAATGAATTATCGGCTATGACTATTATTATTGCGCTTACTTTCACATCTTCCAAAATATTCGATACCGGTATATGTTCCGTAAACGCAGTTAAGCGTTTCTAAATCTCGAATGCTTTGATAGGTTACACCATCAGTGCCACAAATTTGTCCTTGACGGTCAGAACAGAGTTGGCAAGAGCACGTGCACTTTGGCAAATTATTTTCGTCGACTGAGCATGAGCTGCCAGGTAATTTGCAAACATCTGGTCGACAAATTTCTACGTATTTTTTAAAAAGAGAAAGCAAGGGAATGGATTATAAATTTTTAGATGCATATATTAAGAAATTGCCAAGACAAGGCTTACGCTCGCAAGTTTTGCCATCGCCGCGATAACCATGAAGACATTGACATTTATATCCGCCGATGGTATTAACACAGTCAGCTAGTGGGCTACATTGATATTGCATTGTTGCACATTCGTCAACATCTAATTTCGTCATAACAATGTCATGTATTATTAAATTGTGGAATCAATATAGTCTCTCAATGAATGTTACCAAATAAAAAGGCCTTATAAATGATTTAAACAATTAATACTCACCGCTACAAGAATAACCATTACCAGTCCAACCGTTTTTACACTCACACTTGATAATATCGCCAATCCGAGAGCATGTCGCATTAGGATGGCAATTAGATTTCTCTAGTACAGTACATACTTGAGGTTGCATTTCTGTACCCAGGATTTCAAAAAATAAACAGTAATCAGTTACTTTTAGTTATTTTAAAGCCATCATTTACTGCAGTTTTCTTGGGCTGGTGTGTCAGAAAGAAGTCAATTAATATACCTATGCATGTTTTGCCGTCTCCTGTGTACCCTGATTTGCATTTACACTGGTAAGTTCCAGCTGTATTGATACAATCAGCGTGAGTATCGCATTCATCCAGGCCAGCTGAACATTCGTTTACATCTATGAAAGAAATTGTAAATCTTTAACTTCATAGCTAAAAATGCGTTATAAAGTATTATTTTACTGCTGGTCATAACAATTAATAGATTATGATATTCTAGCTACATGCATACCAACGCATGTATTGCCTATATGGCGATAACCGTCGTTACAAATACAGGTATAAGATGCCGGCAGGTTAACACAGAAACCATTATAGCATAAGTTGCTAGTAACCACACACTCATTGATATCTTGTTAAAGATCAAAATATTGAAAATATGAGTTATATTAGTTTGATTATATTGTATGTAAGCATTTGAAAAGCTTACCGACGCAGCTGGTATTGTCCGCGGAGACGACATAGCCATCTCGACATTTGCATCGATATCCACCGGCTAAATTGATACATGTTTCATTCACTTGACAGGCGTGTATGTCCTCGCATTCGTTTATATCTAGTTGAAGGGTAATATTTGATTTAGAAATATGCATAACAGGATCTGACCTGCAAGATTCTCGAATATTGTATAAGCGATTGTGTAACCGAAAATTTACCTTCGCACTCGGTACCATTCCCTCTAAAACCATGTTTACACTTGCAGAAATAGGAACCTTTAGTATTTTGACATGTAGCGTTGACATGGCATGGAGATTTCCCTTCCGTGCACTCATCGATGTCTAAATGGTATAAATGTAGTGATTACTAATCAATAAGCTTTGCTATAGTGCAATATCATACCGATATTGAAAGCTCTCATTAGAGTTAATAAAAGTTTATCATAATAAAAATAAGTAGATAGAGCTAATAACCTACCTTCGCAAATTTGTCCATTACCCTTATAACCAGGTTTACAGATACATTTATATGAACCTTCTGATAAAAGAATACAGGTTGCATCTGCATCACAGTCATTACCACCTCCACTGCTGCAGTAATTTATGCCTAGCACAGATCAGATATATTACTATTTGCTTTTCCAGGACAAATTCGATTTTATATATTTAAATATTGACAAGAAAGGAAATGATTAATATGGATTAGGGATATATTTACCAATGCACTTTATCCCATCGCCCACATAACCAGACTGACACTGACAAGTGTAGGTACCAGGGAGATTAGTGCAATCGGAATCTTTACTACATTTGTTGAGCGGACTGGCACATTCGTTGATATCTACGTAAAGTGATAGAATTATTCCTGTATTCAAAAAGCCTATCTAGTTTATTAGGTTTTATAAAATAATTAGAAATGTATACCATCACATGAAGTTCCATTTCCGGTATATCCAGAGTCACATTGACATGTAAACGATCCTGCTGTATTAGTGCAAGTTGCCTTGCTATGGCAATTATGGTCTCCAGTTGCGCATTCATTTATATCTGGAGAGGTAGAAATTTATATTTATAAACTACAAATTATCCTTTTAGGGGTATCAGCAGCCAACTGAGCTTGTTACCTTGACAGAACCAACAGTTTCCTTCATATCCAGGTTTGCATGTGCACTTGTATGATCCAGGTTCATTGACACATACAGCAAATTGTGAAACGAGAAAAACTTCGCATTCATTTATATCTAATGGGAGGAATACGTTACAAAATTTGTCATGTATATTTCACAATTCACAATCTCCAATTAATAGTCAAAATAGAAGCGCTTATAGCTAATAGTAAATGTAGGAATTACCGTTGCAGCTTTGACCGTTACCATAAAATCCTGAATTACAAACACATTGGTATTGGCCGGAAACGTAAGAGCAACTTGCGTTTTGTCCACACTGGCTTGAAACTGAGCTAGGGCAAAAATCGCTTGGGGTACCTATGTAAATGTGTATGTACATAGTTATGCAAAGGCAGTTAATATATAAATGCAATTATCTACGCTTCAATCATGCTATTTATAGCTCATTTAATAATATGCCAGACTCGAGGATGTACCTTTCAAACAGTTACCATTTACAAGTGTGAAACCAGCTTGACAACTGCAAGAATAGCTACCGACTGTATTAGCACAGATAGAGTTATTGCCGCAGATATTTGATATTTGGCATTCATTGATATCTGATGTGAAAGATGGAGAAAATGAAAATATTTACAAAATTATCTGACGAATACAAATTTTATTATTATTATCTGAAAACATACCGGTACAAAGCACTCCTGAGCCACTATAGCCACTTCTACAAGTGCAAGTGTGTGATCCAATGGTATTAATACAATTAGCGTAAACACTGCAGCTATCTAAATTCTCTGTACATTCATCGATATCTACAAAAGTGGAAATAGAAAATGTTTACGATGATATGTTCAGCTTACAGGTAGCTTATTGATATTTGTAAAATAAAATTACCATCGCAATCACGGCCAGGAGCTGCGGCACTATTATCACGGTATCCGGATTTACATGTACAATCGTAACTGCCATCAGTATCAGCACAAATTGCATTTGGACTGCACTCATTTAGTGATGGTAGAGCACATTCATTGATTTCTAGATGACAGTTTGATTACAGCCGTTTCGAATCGATTAAATGTTAATTACCTAACGATATTTATTATTCATTTTGTACTTCTGCTTTTATTTCAAAATCAATTTCAATTGTATAACTTACGTTGACAAGTTATTCCATCACCGACGTAGCCCGTCTTGCAAACGCATTTATACTTGCCTCCTTGATAGATACATTCAGCAGCTGCGATGCAATCATTACCTCCTATAGTGCAGTGGCCAGGATCATTTTGGGTAACTTGATCACATATTTTGCCATCACCTGAATATCCTGTCTTACACTGGCATTGATATGATCCATCCGTATTGACACAATCAGCATTCGATGAACATTGAGCAGTGCCAATTATACACTCGTTTATGTCTGTATTATATATGATAAATATTAGCATATAAATTCTAGTATAAAAATTGACGAAGAATATTAAATTAACGCTGAAAAATGGTAAATTGAATACAATACCGTAGCAATTGCCACTAGCGGATTCTGTGTAGCCATCTTTACATTTGCAATGATAGGAACCGATGGTATTATTGCAAGTACTATCGTAATTGCAAGCTCCAGTAGAAGCCTGGCATTCATCAATATCTAAACCAGAATATAAATTTAATTTTAATAAACTGCAATTTTACTTTAACGTAGCATAGATCAAAGCCCGATAGAAAACCACTATGCTTACCGGAGCATGACCTCCCATCACCAGTATATCCAGGTGAACACTTGCATTCGTACGATCCCCACTGATTAATACATTTTGCATTGACATGACAATTGTCAATTCCGAGAAAGCATTCATTGACATCTGTAATAGTAGCCGAAATATTATAATTAAGTATCTGTTAATAACCAACGTAAGTTAAGGAGCGATACATAAAAACTGACCATAACAAATTCGTCCGTCACCGTGAAGACCAGGCTTACAACTACATGTGTAGGAGCCAATAGTATTGTAACATATCGCGTTTGCATCGCATTTACTTAAGCCAGCGAGACATTCATCGATATCTAAAACAAAATAAGTATCGGTACTAGGCTTACCAAACAATCAATGAGAATTATGCGGTATTTTAAACAAAACTATCATTACGGCAGTAATAGCTCCAATTTACCTTCGCAAGCCTCACAATGTCCTATAAAACCAGAGTTACACACACATTTATAGGATCCAATCGTATTAACACAACGTGCATTTGCTTTACAATTTGCTGTTCCAGTAGTGCATTCATCAATATCTACAGCAATACATACATAAAAAATATTCAAACCTTCTACTGCACCTAAATCTTTGAACAGAATTGAAGTATTATTTTAGCAAAGTATGCCTACCAGTACACTGTAGGCCGTCACCGCTAAAGCCATCTTGACATGCACAAGTAAAGGATCCGATAGTATTTGTACAAATAGCATGAGCATGACAGTTATCAGTATTAAGGGCACATTCCGGAATATCTATAAATAGAATGAGCGATTGAAAATTTCAATTATTTTGAAATCATACTGTAAATTTATTTGCAATTATTGAGATGAATTGTGCCTTGTATGTGAATATTTAATAATAGCATCATCGATGAAATGGATTAAAGATTCTAGCGATAGTTCGGTGGTTCTATTACCTTTGCAGTTATCCCCATCTCGAGTGAATCCGTTTCCACAGACACACTCATAAGATCCAGGATTGTTGATACAAGTTGAATTTCCAACGTTAATGCAAGCATTGCTATCGTCACATTCATTTATGTCTAAATTATTGAAATAATAACATTAATTACAAGTCTTTATAGTTACTATTTCTGATGGTGCTTAGTTATTATTTTCTCTGAAGCTTAAATAAGTAGTTCATAGTCAAGATGTGGCGGTATTTATCCATCAAAATAAGAAATAGGATAATTTACCGTCACAGTTATCTCCATTATATCCTTGATTACAAACACAGGTATAAGAACCAACTGAATTTTCACATGTAGAGTGTTGCGGGCATGCATTAGCATTGTTACACTCGTCAATGTCTAAGATGACACGAAATGGTAAAAACAGCAGAGTTTAAGATAATTAGACGTTGAAAAAAATTTAATCAGTCTATAATTGTGATCTTACCTTCGCAACTTTTACCATCACCACTATAACCCGCTTTACAAACACAAGAATAGCTACCGGGGTTATTGACACAATTAGCGTTCTCGTTACATTGATCTTTCATTTCAAGACATTCGTCAACATCTACATTTATCCAAATTAAGACACCTTGTTTAAATTAAGACTTTATGGTACCGCTAGAAGTTAGTTATAAGTGTATCTAGAGTGATAAATTATTAACTGATTTATCTAACTATACCCTGACAAGTTTTTCCATCGCTGCCTTTTTTGTAGCCATTACTACAATTACACATATAACTTCCAACCGTATTTAAACATATAGTATTATTTTTGCAGCTATTCGTACTAGTTTTGTTACATTCATCAATGTCTAAAAGACAAAAAATTCAATAAACACAGATATAAATGATTCTGATTATAAGTTCAATTAATATTATTATTATGGCAGGAAAGTTACCATCGCATGATTGACCATTGCCTGTATATCCGTTGCGACAGTTACAAGTAAATGAACCATCGTTGTTTACACAGGTTGCTTGTACATCGCAGTTATGACTATTTTCGGCACATTCATCGATGTCTATATCAATACGAGAAATATCGATAATAAGTTAATAACATGGTAATTATAATAATGACTGCTGCCATATATAAAATCTATCCCTTGCGGTATAAAATATAAATCAGAGAGATGCAGGCCATTTACTAGAACATAATCACCTTTACAACTGCTACCATCACTTCGGTAGCCATTAAGGCACGAGCATTGGTATGAACCAAAAGTATTAACGCACTGAGCATTGCTTCCACAAATGCCACTCATTTTGCACTCGTCGTCATCTTAATATTAAAAGTAAGGTATTTTAGTCTTAATGCAATTAAAGTTCTTATGCGTCATTGTAACAACATCTACATGCAGTTAGGTTCATTTAATAGATTAGCAAATGCTAGAAATCGATAAATATTTATTAACCTGTACAGTTAACTCCACTGCCAACAAAGCCAATTCTGCATTTACATGTAAAACTACCAGCTGTATTGACACAATCAGCATTTGCATGGCAGTTGTCAGCGCCATTTCGACATTCATCAATATCAGTACATGAAAGTCCGTCGCCAGTGAAGCCCGATTTACAAGAGCAATCATATGAACCGATATTGTCAATGCAAAGTGCATCTTTATGACATTTATTAGGTTCAGCACATTCATCAATATCTAGTGTTGTATTAAAAAAACATCGGATTAATTATTCTGCTTATCCATTGCTTATAAGATTCGAATTTGATATTTTAATATTACTGTAATATATTTAAGCTCGAGGTGGCCGAATAATTTTAGGTTATAGGTTTTTATATCTTACTTGTACAGGTTTTTCCATTTCCAGTATATCCGCTATTGCATGTGCATGTGAATCCATTTCCAGCTGGGGTGCAATAAGCATTAGCGTCACAGTCACTTTGTCCAGCTTTGCATTTGTCTATAGCTATTTTGATAGACAATATGAAATTGTCAAGGGCGAGAAGTCAAAAACAAGAAGTAGTCTATTTTAAACATTTTATCATGTTTAAGTTGCAGGTAGACAACATTTCATAAATATACTTACTAAAATTTTAAACATTTAACCGAATGAAACGAAATTTAAAATATCAAATTGCGATTGAACTATTTTTATTCGAGGCTCAGTTTAAGGCCTAAATTCCATGAGGTATAATAGTGTATATGCAACTTTAGATATAATCTAAATTTCTGTTTAAACATCATTGAAAATTTTCGTTTAGTACAATTTACCTGAGCATGTGTAGCCATTACCGGTAAAACCAGGCTTACAACTACACTGGTATGAACCAGGGGTATTAACACAATTTGCGTTCTGACTACATCGGTTGTCGGAGCTCCTTTGACATTCATTTGTATCTATAGACATATATTTATTACAAGCAAGTTATGGATTATGCAAGTTCTTATAAAGAGGACTGTAGCATGGTGTTTTTAGTAATTACTTTAAGTGTGCTAGACTACGACTACATTAAGCCCAATTTTCATCGGTTAAAGCACTTACCATTACATACTAATCCATCTCCAGTATATCCTGTATTACATTGGCATTTATAGCTTCCAATTTGGTTAACGCATGTTGCATACGGACTGCATTGGGCTGATCGTTTCACGCATTCATTAATGTCTAAAAATTGAGTGGAATTTAGAAACGTGCGCTGATGCCAGTTGTGTATAATGTTGATCAATGTACAATTTAATATCAAGAGTTGAAATAACTAATATAATTTGATCAATTGTTAGAGTGTAATATAATAATATCTTGTATTTCCAATTTGGTTTATAACTACGGTAGAGCACAATGTAATAACGACTGATTTAAGATTTTAAGCCTGGTAATTCTAAAATAAAAGCTTATGACTATTTTAAAGTACTTTTACTAACAATACGAATATAACTGTAACAATCTTTAATAAGTAGTCTAAAACTTTAAAAAGATCTCATCCAACCGTGACAGATTTTTCCATTGCCAGCAAAACCATTTCTGCAGCTGCAAGTATAGGAACCGTTGTTGTTAATACAGTTGGCAAATTTGTGGCAGTTGTGCTGATTCTTGGCACACTCATCGATATCTGAATACAATATGTCGAAAAGATTTTAGAGACTATCTCTAATATATTCCATTTCGACAAAAACTATCACAATCGCTTGTATTTTTAGGACTTTTGCTGTTCCTATTGAAAGTAACTTACCAACACAAGTTTTATTTTTCTGTTGATAGCCATGCTTGCAATTACAATGATAGGAACCAACTGTATTGATACAATTTTGAGTCTGACTATTGCACGCGTTAGCATTGCTGTGGCATTCATTGATATCTAAGCACAAATTGTTGAAGTACAAAAGCAATTAGGGCTGTATCTGGATCAATATTAGGTATTGATCGTTAGTATATCAATTTGCAAGACTTCCTACCATGACAGGTTTTACCGTTACCAGTAAAACCAGGACGACATTGGCATTGGAATGATCCCATAGTATTAGTACACTTTGCATGGGCATGACAATTATGACTGTTTCTGGCACATTCGTCGATATCTGCAATGGCAGCAGCAAATCTTGAATTATCTAGTTTTTAAGAACAGTTATATGCCTATTTTCTATTAATATAACTTACCTTTACAAAGACCTTGGTGCATGTAGTAACCGGGCTTACATCGACATATAAAAGACCCAGGAGTGTTAGTACATATTGAATTCGCGGAGCAAGAATTGGGATTTAAGCATTCATTAATATCTGTTAAAAAGAGATACATCAAAAGAATATGATCGAGTTAACCATCCCAGAAAATGATTTTAATCATTAATCCCGCTAAGTTATCAACCTGTGCAATTGGATTTGCCATTGCCAACATAGCCTGGTTTACATCTGCAATTGTAGCTACCCTGTGTATTTTCGCAGACACCATGGAGATGACAGTGATGGAGAACACTTTTTGAACATTCGTTTATATCTAAATTTAATAAATTTATAATTTTCTTATCATAAAATATTGTTGAAACTAACTGCTGTTACTCTCGAATATTATCTTATCCTGTGAGGATGATGGCTGATAGTTGCATAATAATATCAAATATTATCTTCGCAAGTAGATAGAATAAATTAAATACAGCTACTTCTATAGATGAAACTTTAAACCAATAATATCCGATATATATTTTACTAGTAATACCTGTACAGGTTCTTCCATTTCCAGTAAATCCAGCCTTACAATTACATCTGTAGCTTCCGACAGTGTTGGTGCATATAGCATTGGAATGGCAGTTGTCTTTATTTTCAGCACACTCATCAATATCTAGTTGTATCCATAAAACACAAATATTTTAAAACGTATTATATGGTTAAGGGAAGAATTTTGAAGAAAGTAAATGTCTTGACGATCTTAGCTTACCATTGCAAGTTGTTTTGCCGTTGCCACGGTATCCATTGCGACAGATGCATGCATAAGAACCGGCTTGGTTTTGGCAATACGCCATAGCATGACAAGAATGAGTGCTTGCTTTTTGACATTCATTGATATCTATACGTAATAGCGTTTAAGAAAAATTCTTAGTTTATTAGTTTGATTTTTGCGATTGTTATTAGTTTATACTATACCTTTGCAGCTTCTTACACCGTATTTTATATAGCCTGGCTTGCACTGACATGTATAAGAGCCTTTAGTATTCACACAGATCGAGGTATCGTTGTTGCAATCATTCTTTCCTTTACATTCGTCAATGTCTAAATGAAGAAGAAATTATCAAGCATCGTTTCAAATTTAGATCAGAAAATAAAGCAATTATACTGTAAATCATCTCTGCTGTTATGATTTTCCTTATTAAATTGTCATACAATATGTATTAAATGTTTGCGTTATTTCTTCGTAATTCTAACCGTTGCAGTTAATCCCATTTCCAGTGTAGCCTTTGCTGCAGTGGCATTGGAATGAACCTTGAGTATTTGAACAGTCGGCATACTTATGACAGTTATGATTGCCAGTAACGCATTCGTTGATATCTAAGATTTAAATTTAATTACCCATACGGTATCATAAAACAACATAATTCATAACTTGGAGTATTTTACGTTGTGTAATAGTTACTGCACAATTATTGAATGATCACAAGGTACCTTGACATCGTTTTCCATCTCCTTTGAAACCTTTTGGACATCTGCAACTATGTGATCCAGGCGTATTTTCACAAATAGCATTAGCATGGCAGTGATGAGTTCCATTATTACATTCATTGATGTCTTAAGGTGAACAAAGCATCGAAATTAATTAGGAATCTTACTAGAGGTTAGAAAGCAATTTTATGGATTTTACCAGTGCAGTGAAGTCCATCGCCTTGATAGCCATTTCGGCAGTAGCATTTTCGTTCATGATTACGGACGGTGCAATATCCTTTGTCATGACATTTAACTTGATTACAGACTACCTTGCCACTAGGTGTGCAAGTGCAGTTGTTTCGACAACGTCGGTCAATCCATGATGTACCAACCTGTAGAAAAGGTTCAAAGATAGTGAAAGAAATTAAGCCTTTTTTGGTCAATTTAGTGAGGCAATAATAATATTTGTAATACTAAATTTTATCATTAAATCTATTCAGTATTGCTATCGATGCATCCAGATATGAGTACACCTACGAATATTTTGATTACGGGTATTTTAGAGTATATTGTAAGCGAGCGCATAGTATGCTATTAGAACTGCTGCTAGATATTGTATAAATGCAGATTTTTAAAATTTAAATTACTGCTGTAATAGAATATCAGTATTTTTAGACTGTATATGCACTATACAGTTATACATGCATTCTGAATCAACTAAGCACTTACGTCAATATAAGCACAGCCGACTTTACAACCACAGCGATTAGATTTTATACATTTGTTGTTTTGGATAACCGTTCCTTTCGGACATTGACAACCTTCTGTACAAGTATCTTCATTCTCGTCACAATTAGGATTTGGATTGAAGCAGGTAGCAGGACAATTGGAAACACAGTTTGTAAACTGCATACCTTGAGGGCATTGCAAGGCTAGTAATGTACATAATATCCATTTAAGAAATGTTTAGTTCAATAGTTTAAAAAGCTCTCATAAGCAGACTATGGACATCATCATCCTTACGACATAAATTTGTTTTCCTCCATGATATCTTAATTCCGTTTTCAGCACAAGCAGTAGCATAGGTTTCAACAGCGGCACAGCGTACTGAATCCATATTGTCAGCATCCATACATACATCGTACATGCACGAGTCATAGTAGGTACTAGGATCCAAAGTAGCATGACAAGGCTTAAAGATATCGCTGTTGATAACCTGTTATTGAAATGGCGTAACATATAATAATACTATTAAGCTTTAAAGGAACTTATAAAATTTAGGAATGCATAATTTTAAGCGATATCTTTCTAAAAAATCTATAACATTATCGCTAAATGATTACAAATTGGTAGTGTATACTAGTGCAGAGTTTATAAATAATTTATTAACTTACACCACATGCTGTCTCTGCGCGTTTTTCAGTCGTTGGATCCTTATTGCAATCGTTAGGTACGTCAGATGGAGTATCAAGGCATTCTGGAGCACTGTTATTGGACAACCAACTGTTTCCTACATCGTTATATGTTTTACCTAAGGATCCACCCTTCATTAAAAAGTCGTCTTTAGGATTGCCATTATAATTTCCGCATATACCGCAAACTTTATTTTGATAAGTGGCGGGTAAGTTGATCAATAGCTGATGATTACCGTTCCAGATAACCACCAAGCCATGTACAGTTTTTACTACTACTCTACCACCAATTAGATTAATGGATACATTCTGATTTGGATTAGCAGGTACATTGATTTTTTGGCCGTCAAGCAAGACTACATTTTTGGGTAATAGTGCAATTTCCATGCCATCTACTAGGACAAATGCTGATTTGGTCCAAGTAACCTATTTTATTTGATAAATTACAAAATGTCAAAGTAAAATCTATAGGCAAAATGCAACGTAAAATTTCTTTACTAACTCGCTTATTGTTTCTACGATGCTCATTTTGGCCTTCTACAATAAATGCAGGATTATCGACGCAGTCCTTTACTAAAACATATCGACAACCGCCTTGGAAATGAATCCAACGGTTATCGAATGTTCGATAATGAGGATCACCCATAGCTGTACATTTGCCGTATTCTAATGAAAGGATTTGTAATATTCCGTAAATTCATGCTTAGTTACATTTAAAATTTATTATTGAAAATTTCTGTATCATATCTACTTGAAATTTAGCAACTATTATATCATACTTCCGCAAATAACGCCATTTCCGCTGTAACCTGGTCTACATCTGCATGAATACGAGCCCGGTGTATTAACGCACCTAGCATATTTACTGCACTTATGGCCTCTTGCAGCACATTCGTTAATATCTGCAATGTTATGACATACAATCGTTCTTTAATAGTTCAATATAAATTCTATTACTACAGAATTTACTGTCTTACCAACGCATTGGGTTGCTGGACCGTTCCTAAATTGTCTACGTCTTGTAACTTCAGTATAACCTGGAAGACATACACATTTATAGGAGCCGATAGTATTGACGCAGCCAGTATTCTGAGGGCAATAACTTTTGGTAGCATTGCACTCATTAATATCTATTTTATAATTTTTTTGGAGACAAGTTAGGAGAAGAAAGCAAAAAATGAAATTAGTACAGGTTAATACATGCTGTATCTTTTATAATGAGGGAGCGGTTGGGTAAGCGCGATTTTCTAGCAGTGATGGCAGAATTTTATTGAATTTAGTCTCTTAGTATACTAAAGACACGACATTACTCCATTACCGGATATGACATTTATTTACCTACGCAGCGTCTACCATTGCCAGTAAATCCTGGTTTGCAAGTGCAAGTTACTCCCGACCATGCATCACCGTGACATACTGCGTTTGGATCACAATCAGAAAAGCCAGCGGAACACTGATTATAGGCTATGGAATAAAGGGTAACATGTTAGAAATGTATAGCCATAGGAATTCATATGCTGCATATACCATTACTCGATCAGCTATTATCTCTACTTGAAAATTTTAATTTCTAATGTACAATAATTTCTTGCAATTTTTCCTCTTAGTGGATTGAATGCATTTAAAGTGATTGGTTACCATCATCAATCTAGCAGTTATTCATAATATTGTGAGGCTTCGCTGTTTTGCTTACGGAATTTTTTAGGGCCACAAATCAATGGTCCGAGGGCAAATTTAGCCAATTTTGTAGATCCGTCGACGTCGCTAAACTTGACTTTGGTAACAGGAAGAGAGTTTTTATTTTGTAGTAATCCAGCATCACTTCTCCATAATCTACCAGCACCACCATCGCAGTTACATAAACCAGTACTATTAATACATGCCCTGTTTTTACCACATGCACATTTATTATAGCCATCACTACCTCCCCATCCTAACTGCTTGATATTATTACTGTCAAACCAATAACCGAATGATTGACCGTTGGCAGCTTTCAATCGTGAATTTTTGCAGTCATATCGAATACCTAGAAATCAATCGAGTTATATAAGGCCTTAAAGATATATTTAATCTTTAGTAACGTTATGGCTGATTACCTTGTAAGCAGTGGCTTTGAGTTTTAATTAAGGCCTTTAATTGGGCTATTGATGCACCGTGATATGAAATAGCGCGTGTATAATAACCATCGGAACCCTTTGAGCCAACTGCGTTATCCCCTGGACTATTATGATTGATTATAGTCAGAGCAATTCCAAATCTTCTGTTTTCAAGATCGCAATGAACTGGGAAAGGAGCTACACCACCAGGACCATCTATAAATTGGTGTGATGTTAAGTTAGTAAAATGATCATATTATATTTATTTTTGTGATAATGTTAGATATATAAGTACTACTAGGCCATTAAGCAAACGATTGCTGCTATCGATTTTAATTGGAGCAGAGTGTTTATATGCTTTACAGGAAGGTTTTACTTATAAAATTTCTTGATAGACGCTATTGGTATTAAACAAGAAACTATTAACTAATTCAGAGTATTATCTGAATATAATTGCGGCTGTAATACTACCTTTGTTTTGTTTAGTTTTTTGATCTTGAATATATCAATTAGTCAATAACACAGTCGTTTATATAACTATAATTAGCACTAGCTACTCTAAAAGTTCGATTGCATCCTTTGATATATCAATACTTGATTCATAATTATGTATCTATACCTGGATCGATTGTATAGGTACCACTATGGGCGTCATTATCTTTACAAAGGACATCGTAGCAGTTCTTGGGTAAACC